GTTTATTTTTAAAATCAATTAATTACCATAAAAATAATATTTACAGTGGAAACCTGTGTATTATATCAACGTTTGATCCTATGAAAGTAATTCATTATAATATAATCTACCAATGTAACAATTTTCGTTTTCAAACATTGATTTTTTCGTAGAAAGCACTTGGTAACATAACACTCACATAGTCACATAATTTATAATTTTGTCATAACCAAATTAAATTTAAAACAAGGTATATAACAGTGTGATCATATGAATAACTCGAAAAAAAAATGTATAACCGTAAATAAAAACTGTAATTTAGATAAACAAATAACTTGACCATTTAAATGTTAACATAAATATAAAATTAATAATATTCATGCTAAGTGTTGCCAGTGGGTGGCTTCTTAATCAATTTATCACGTCCTGTCTGCTCTTAGTACATAAGCTTATTGTACGTATACTTGTATAGATTGTTTATTTCTAATAAAATAAAATAAAACATAACTATAATCGTAGTCTAAGTAACTATTAAAGCCTTTATATTCCATAAAAAATAATAAATGTTTAAATGTTTAAAACGATATGTATATTATATCATCTATACACGACCCCTAAATATTGTAGTTGAAAAAACATGAAGCGATGCTCGGAATATTGGTATGGTCCATAAAATTTATAACAAAAGAAATTAAAAACACGGAATACTGGAACTCTTCAAAATTTAATTTYCAAGGATTCTAAAATATTTACAAATTTACAATGTTTATTTATAGTTTTGATAAATTACCATTGTCAGTCAACAAGTTAAATTTAAATAATACGTTGTAAACAAAAAAATAATGTTAGAAATAAAAATGAACAAAGCTTAACAAAGTTAATACAAAATAGTTGATAGTTAAAATAAATACAATATATAATTTATGATCAATAATAAATTAATAGTTGGTAAAATATAAACAACTATTTCGTAYACTTAGCTATATTAATTAAAAATTTCCTATATGAATCTCTTTATTCAAATAGCTCTCACATTCATTATGTAGTTTGTTTTGCAAACAATTTTGTTTTATTGAAATTTTAGCCATTAAGATATTATTTGTATTGTGTGTTCTTTCAATCCACATTGTCACTTTATCTTGTTGGATACATTTAACTACTAACCAAAAAGAAGGATTATTTACAAGTTTATTAAAATAGCTATTCCAACCTACACAAAAATTATTTGTTCTGTTGCCATTATTTAAAGTAATTTCATGCACATTCAAAAAGTGGGGAGAAAATATTGGCTCCTAGACTTCACACTAACATAAGTTTCGTCAAAATAATTTAGTAATGGTAAGAATTGTACAGGTGTCGTTGTATATAAATAAAC